TGGATGGAGGGAGAAGGAGGGAACTGATAAGGAGAATTCCTGATGGCTGAGATTTATGACACAAAGCAACCCTCCTTTCTTTCAAAGAGTTTTTGTTTTGTTGTGTTTTGTTTTTTAAGATAGGGTTTCTCTGTGTAGCCCTGGCTGTCCTGGAACTCACTCTGTAGACCAGGCTGACCCTGAACTCAGAGAGATCCACTTACCTCTGCATCCTGAGTGCTGAAATTAAAGGTGTGTGCCACTACCACCCAGCCAAAGAGTTATTTTTTAAATAGCAGAATGAAAGGCATGTTTGAACAAGTAAAAATATTTCTGAGTGTACAAAGCAAGCAGGCAAGTCTCTCTTGTCCCCACACTCCCTGTGTCTGAGGAGCCAGTATAGCAGTCACTCTAGCCTAGAGCCTAGAGTCACAACAAGTCTCTCTTGTCCCCACACTCCCTGTGTCTGAGGAGCCAGTATAGCAGGTCCTCTTGGTACCCACTTATTTGGAAAAGCTTCTTGGATTCCCCATTCTTGCCATCCAGCTGAGTGAGACCCATACTCTCAGGGGTCTCAGAGCTGAAGGGCAGTGAGGCTGCTTCTTAGAAGGCAGAAGAACAGGGTTGAAAACCAGCTGTGCCCCCAGCTGGAAGGGGAGCCCAGATGCATGCTTAGTCCCTCTTTACTGCTATGTCTTGCCAAAGAATTGATGCAGTGACTTAGATGCCCTACCTTAGAGGCTTGTGAGTCCTGCTTGGACAGTGGGTGCCCAGCCTTATTACTGCTCAGTCATAGTGTCCTGGGTTCCTGTGGGTGGTTGTGGAGTGAGCACAGGGTGATAGGGTATGCTGCCCAGGTGTCCACCCCCACCTGGTCCCCGGTGACTATTAGCACCTGACTTTCCTGCCTCAGTCCTTACCCTTCTCCAGCTCCCACTCACATTCTTGGATCTCAGGCATCATGGCCACCTGGGCCTTCCTCAGACCTTAGATTCATTCTTTTTATGATGGGAAAAGTTCCTGGCCTGATATTGACTTGTGGACTTCCCAAGTCACTAGTGGGAACAACGGATATGGCCCCTCTGCACACTGAGGTCATTCATACCTAGTGGCACCTACAGCTCTGCCAGAGTGCTCTTGGGAGTGTGAGAGCTCTCAGTGTCAGAAGTGAACGCTTTGAATAGGACTTACGGCCAAACCAAGAATGGACACCAGAGGGCGCTCCAGCCCGAGCAATGGGAATCTGCCCGTACTAGATGAGTGACCCTTGGGACCTTGGCTGTAAGAAGACCTGGTGTTGGGTTTGGAAATTTGGACACACTGCGTTTTGATCATGGCTCCACCATCCATCTCACTGTGAGAGCTTGGGAAAATCTCTTCATGTATGGGCTCTGCTCTCCTCACCTGTGAGATCCGTGTGGCATGTGTGGCACAGTGGGTATGATCACGTGACAAACATGTCCATAGCACTTACTGTTACTGTGAATAACAGGAGTCTGGTTTGAAATGGCTGCCTCTCCCTCCTTGCTTCCATCAAGTTTGTATGTCTATATCAGACTCAGCACTGCGGGGAGGTAGCAGACAGCTCGTGGCTGGGGTGGTCTGAGGACCTATAGAAGCCTCCTAGCATCCACCCCTGTGGTGTGTGCAATAGGGAGAAGTCCTCTAGCAGGAGGTAAGCCTTGACTGTGCCACAGGCTTGCTGAGCACACCTGAGGAAGTGTCTTCATTTCTCTGGGCTTTGGGTTAGACTGGACAAAATGAGAGTACAGTTGAGGCCTGGTGAGTACCTGGAGAAATCCCAGCCAGCTTCCTTTGGCTTCCTACTGAACTAAGGGCATGTGGCAACTGTGGCAGGGGAGCTGATGAGCAAGTTCCTTAAGAGTTTGGTGGTGGCCAAAGAGTGGAAGAGAGGCTTGAAGCTGAGAGAGAAAGATTATCCAAAGTCATCCGGCACCATGGTAGAGGGCTGTCCCTTCCCGCTGCTTGCCTCTGAAGGCCCAAGTGGAAGCAGGAGGGAGGAGATGGGTGAGTGGGCTAGAGAAGTCCAGGAGGGCTTCAGAGAGCCGGGGAGGGTGAGGAGAACGGAGATGAGTGGGTTAGCACTTGGCAATGTGTGTTTTTCAGAAGAGGTGCAGGAACAGGGTGCGATGGGACAAAGTGGTGAACTAGGGAGGGACTGTGTGAAACAGAAGGCAAGCAGGTGTGTCCACCATGGGAGCCTTTGCGTGTCGTCATGTGCACTGTGCAATAGGCAGGGCCGATGAGTAAGGAGCACTCCCTACTTTGATCATGGATCCCTTTTCTTGAAGGTAGCATGAGTAGGTTGCCTCAGAGTGTCCCTTGGGGAATGCTGGTTTTGAGAGAGGAATGTTTGTAGTCCTTTGATTCAGGGAAGTAGCTTCAGGGATCTTTTGGGTGAAGTGTAAGATTCAGTAGGATGTAGTGTGTAGGGACTCTAATACTTCTTACTGTGTGGTCTTGGGCAAATGTTACTTTTTGAACCCCCAGAAAAGAATGTCTCAGTATCAGACATAGTCACAGTGAAAGTCCTGGGTTAGCTGAGCATCCACTGGCCAGAATTTCCCTCCCTCAGTCCTGTGCCCCCTCTGGATCGATGTCCTTGGACCTTCTCCCTTGGATTAACACTGTCCCCTTGACTTGACAGAAAGGAGGCGTGGCGTCTGGATTCAAGCACGTGGTACCCAATGAGGTGGTGGTGCAGAGGCTCTTCCAGGTCAAAGGACGCCGTGTAGTCCGTGCCACTGAGGTGCCTGTGTCCTGGGACAGCTTCAACAATGGTGACTGCTTCATTCTGGACCTGGGAAATGTGAGTTGTGCCTGCCCTTTTCCAGGGCCATTGTGGGAACTTGGTGAACTCTGGGGAAGGGAAACACTCAAGAATGGGTACATGAACACTCAGGGGACAGAGACCAGAAGGCCCAGAGTCAGGCAGCAGACCCAGTATGGGTGAGTCTGGTACCCCTAGGTTCCCACAGGTGAACCCAAGCATGTCATACATGTATGCATAGATCTCAGGTCATCCCCATTATTTGCACAATGTGTTTGATATGCAAACTTCCTGGCATTTCTTAACACACACAGCTATATACATTTTAAAATACAGGCACTCATTTCTAAGCACATGGAAGTTATGGGCAGAAACTGTAGGCTTTTATCTACTGTGGACACTAACACCATGATGAGTGCCCAGACAGACTTGTACCCACAGTGTGCCCACATATGTGTCATTGGTTGCCTGTGTTCCTGGTATGTGACGATGTGTGTGGTGCATATCCCCAGGCCCACTGACTGCTAAATGGGTAATGCTTGCCTCACAGCTCCACATGAGCCCAAACCTGCAAATGGTCATAGCCGGACATTACACCCCAAAACCTCTGTACATATGCACCTGTGGTATAATGTCCTGTCTTGCCTTAGCATAGGCTTTTGAAAAATGTCTTAAAAATTATTTTATGTGTACTGGTGTTCTGTCTGTATGTATGTCTGTGTATTGTGTGTGCGTGCCTGGTGTCTACAGAGACCAGAAGAGGGAGCTAGATCCTCTGCAACTGGAGTTGCAGAGGGCTGTGAGCTGCCATGTGGGTGCTGGGGTTTGAACCCAGGTCCTCTGCAAGAGCAGTCAGTGCTCTTAACTGCTGAGCCATCTCTTCATCCTCAGTGTAGTTTTTTTGTTGAAGTAAAATGGCATGGCATGTTCTATTGCTGACTGCTGTTCTATGCATTTCACCCAGTGAAGGTACCGTCAAACTCCCATCTAACTGTAGACCCCTGGAAAGCATGGGTTGTTCCCTCTTAGTCCTTCACCCCTAAGGGCAGCCTCATTATACACTTTTCTGAAATTATGTGCAGGGGACCTTCGTCTTTTGTGTTGAATTCCTTTTAACCTTACATTTCTGAGATCCCTCCATATTGTTGCATTTTGGGGTAGCTCACTCGCTCCTTGCTTGGTGAAAGTCCACTCTGTAGGTACTCTGTTGCTTCATTACCATGTTGTCCTGGGTAGCTGGGTGGTTTCTGGTTTGGGCTGCTCCGAACATTCTAGTATGGGTCTTTTTAGGCATATACCTGCAGTTTGGTGGGTATGTGGCTTGGAGTAGGATTGCTGGCTGACAAGGTGTTCTAGTTTGCTTTCTGTTGCAGTGTTCAACACCATGACGAGAAGTAACTGAGGTGAAAGGGGTTTGTTTCAGTTTACACTTCCATGTCATAGTCCATCATTGAGGAATCAGGGATGGGACTCAAGTAGGAACTGAAGTGGAGACCATGGAGGATTGCTGCTTACCCACCTGCCTAGGAAAGTTGCTTCCCATAGTGTGCAGGGGCCTCCCCCATCAATCACCAATCAAGACAGTCATTCACTGATATGGCCACAGGCCAGTCTGATTTTGGCATTGCTCAGCCGAGGTTCCCTCTTCCCAAGTGTCTCTAGGTTGTGTCAAGTTGTCAATAAAAATAAACTAGCACACAGGGAGGGTGTAGGTCATGGATGCTGTGGGAGCTGTAAACAATGCTTGCCACCAGCAGGGGTCTCTATATCAGAAGCTTGGAGATTACATAAATTAAGTAAAAGTTGATTTAGGCTCACAGGCTGGGGATTGACTGCTTTACAAAATGGCCAATGTTGATAGGCAAATGGCCCTGTGCAAAACAGTCGAGAGACAAAGGTGACCTGCTCTGTAGCGGGAAAAACTGAGCCTACATGAAAAATGTTAATTCCAACACAGACACAGTGATCATCAAACTTTAACATGAACTTCAGAGGAACAACTTCTATGCAAACCAGAGCAGCCAGCAATCTAGATGTCATAGTACATGTCAGTATCCTTGAATGCAGAGATCACTCCATCGCCCTTGGGAGGCGTGTGTGTGTGTGTGTGTGTGTGTGTGCGTGTCTGCTGATCCTTACCTGCGCAAGCACAGGCCAAAGGGGAGCTTGTACATAGCCACAGTCTGCACATTGTTATCCTTCCAGGCAGGCTGTGCAAAGGCTGGGCTCTGACCTCCTGGGGTCTCTGTCTTTCAGAATATCTATCAGTGGTGTGGCTCCAGCAGCAACAGATTTGAAAGGCTGAAGGCCACACAGGTGTCCAAGGGCATCCGGGACAACGAGAGAAGTGGCCGTGCCCAAGTACACGTGTCTGAAGAGGGCGGAGAGCCAGAAGCTATGCTCCAGGTGTCTGTGGGGTATGGGAGGGGGTGAACAAAGGAGCAGGGTGCTCCTCCTTCCTTTAAGAAGAGTTATTTAGTAAGGCCCCTTCTCTGCCCCTAGAGACCTTATTCTGTTTTCTACCTGGCCTGAACATTTAGGGAGTAGGAAGATAGCTCCCTGCAACTCTAACTCCATGAGAACTAAGCTGGAATCTCAGGGAGTGCATGTCACACCCTCCAGCGAGGACGACCCACGCCTTCCAAAAGAGCAGGTTAGGAAGGAGATTTCTTGAGGACTATCTGGAACTATTGAGGTGTCTTCTCTGACATTGCTGTTTATTTACTGCTCACTAGGTTAACAGTATGATGGGGGTTGTCAGCTACCTTGCTTTGGTGGAGGCAAGTTTCCCCAGGAAATGAAGAGAGAAATGTCTGCCCTGTGCCACTATGCTCTCACTTGCTGGGGGCATCTAGTTCTGATTTTTGCAAAGAGCAAAAGGATTTTATAGGGAGAAAGAAAAAGATCCCAGATATCAGGGACAGTGGTGGGATGTTAAGACCTCGAATGGAACCAAGCAAATAAGCTTGAAGTGATGGTTCCAATTCTGACTGACAGTCTCTTAGATGCTGTTTGAGCCAGTAAGCTTGTCTCTCCAGCTCTCACACCTCTTGCTGTGAATGGAGACTGGTGAGTGAGAGCCGCTCCACTCCTGGCCAGAAGGTGTTTGTAGTTGCAGTGGGCTCCAATGCAAAGTAGATGATGAGGGAAGGCCAAGCCTAGAGGCAGGGACGCCTAGAGGGAAGGGCAAGTCATGAAGATGTCAGGGACAGGCAGGTTCTTTCCATGTAGCCTGGCCTGCTGGGGAGCTCTCTCAGAAGCCTTCATGCTCACGGTCACCCTTCCACCACATCTGACACCTTCTCCAGGTCCTGGGTCCCAAGCCAACTCTGCCTGCAGGCACCGAGGACACAGCCAAAGAGGATGCAGCCAACCGAAAGCTGGCCAAGCTCTACAAGGTGAGCCCCAGGGGTACTATTCCCTATACCAAATGGGGTCAGGCTGGGGAGGCAGGAAGCTCCATTGTCCTCAGCTGCCCTGGCTGGGGGACTGATATCCCATGTCCGAGGGAGTGTTTGTTGTTTTCCTGAAGTCAGGGAATAAGAGGGTGCTCTCTGCTAGATCATGTAGTACTTGGCTCCTGGCCCCCTCCCTGAAAAAAGAAACAAACTTTTGTTGTTTTGGTTTGGGGTTTTTGTTATTATTTGTTATTATTTGACAGCATCTTGTCTTTCTGTGTAGCCCAGGCTAGCCTTGATCCTCATGCCTCAGCCGTCTAAATCCTGGGGTTACAGGTGGGCACCACTGTCCCTAGCCAAAGGGTCATCTTTGCAGTTTTTTTAGGATTTCTGGGAGTCTGGGCTGGGAGAGGGGCATGAGAAAAGAATCTTAGGACTGGGGTAGGGTGACAGTTATGGCTAACATTTCTGATAACCTTTTCCTTGTGAGCCTTTGGATGCACTTTTCAGTGCTAGAGCCCGTCCCAGGTCCTTGGCATGTGCACATCATCAGACTAGTGCCAGCCTTTGCCCCTTCCCTGTCATTTTAGGATCTGGGATGAGGCCTATGGACTTTGCTAGGTGGCAATTCCCAGCTCCCAAATCTCCCTCTCCAGGGACTTGGGAGCCTCTGCTTACTCACCCAGTCTCGTGAAATTTGACTAGTGGACATCTTGTTTTTTTTAAGTTGAATGAACTCTTTGTATTAGAATATCTTAGATTTATAGGAATATTACAGAGATAGTCTTGTATACCCTCCTCCTGCTCTTCCTTAGCATCCTAATGTAAGTGGGCATACTTGTCATTGAACAACTGAGATGGGCCAATGCTGTCAACAAATTAGAGGCGTTGTCCTGATTCTCCAAGTTCCTTCCAAGCACAGTCCAGAGTGGCAAATCTGAGTGTTTGGCCCTTGTCATTTTTCTTCTCCTTAACTCATGATTTCAAAAGCTTTTCAGCAAACTCTACAACTTCTCTGAGGCTCTATACCTTTTACTGAGATGACCGTGTATCTCAGCTGGCCTTGAACTCACTATATAGGTGAGGATGACCTTGAATTTCTGATCTTCCTGCCTCCACCTCCTGAGTTCTCGGATTGCAGGTGTGCACCACCACAGCTGGTTTATGTGGTGCTGGGGACTAGAACCCCAGGCTTTGTGCATACTAGGCAAGCAGAGCCACATGCCCAATCCCAAGATCCTCCCTTGCCTCCGTTTACCCACCTTCTTATTCCAGGTGCAGAATCCATGTCCCATGCCAGACTGCATGTTTGACTGTGCTTCAGAGCTGTGTGGGCCTGGACGCTGGTCCGCCCTTTCACCTGCCTCCGGTGTTCACAGGGTGCCTCCTTCTCATCCCCCACAGGTTTCCAACAGTGCAGGCAGCATGTCAGTCTCCCTCGTAGCTGATGAGAACCCATTCGCCCAGGGCGCCTTGAGAACTGAGGACTGCTTCATCCTGGACCATGGCAGAGATGGGAAAATCTTTGTTTGGAAAGGTACAGGGCAGGTGCCCAGGTTCCATTGGCCTGCAGAGGCTTCCGGGATCTCAGCCCCAGGGAGAACAGTGCAAAGCAATCAGGATCCTAAGATAATGCCTGGCTTTGCAGTTAGCAGAGCCTGAGTCCCTGTTTGTGCCCAGATGAATGTTTGCCAAGTGTGTGACAAGGTCAGTCTCTGAGAAGTTAATTGACACCATGTAAGATTTATGTATCTTGAAAAGATGTAGCTGTGTGGGTCCAAAACTCCTAGGCCCAGTGTGCTGAAGGGTAAGCAGTACGTTATTGTGAGGCTCACTCTCCGTTCTGTGATGGAGTATCTCCTGTGAGGCTCTTGGGCCTGATGGATTCTGAGAGCCCAGAGACATCTGAAGAACCCCCTACCCCTTCCTCAGATGCATTGAAACTGGTGCTGGGAAGGGGGAGGGAGGTGGTGGGTGAAGATGCAAGAATTTGAGAGACTCCCTGAGCCTGGGCTGGCTGTCCCTGAAGGATCTGGGCATGGACTGGCCAAGGCCTCACCTGACTCCTTGAGGGTCACGAGGGCTGGAGCAGAGGCTCTGCTGTGTGCAGGGGTGGGGATGGGGGGAGCATGTTACCTTGGAAAGAAGCTCCCTATCAAGTGTGCAGCCTGGTGTTTGTACCGATGCAGCAGGCCAACTTTCTGTGACCTCTCTGAGAAGCCCATTTCCTTATATATGAGGGGGAACAATACCTCTATGAGTTAAGGCTGTCCAGTGGATTAAATGAAATAATCTTTGTGCAATTATGGTACCAAATCTATGTTCAGTAAGTGAACCACAGTGGTTTTCATGGTTGCAGTTATTGGCCAGGACCTCAGAGGGGAAACTAGGAGCCCTCACCTCTTAGGGGTGGTCCTCCCTGGCTATGGTCTAATTTTAAGGAGAGTGGGGAGGTAGGCCAGCCGCCCCTTTCCTGGGACCTCTGAGCTGTTGTGTTAGTAAGGATTTCTATTGCTATGAAGAGAGGCCATGACCACAGCAACTACTTTATAGAAACATTTAATTGGGGACTGGCTTACAGTTCAGAGGTTTATTCCATTATCATCATGGCAGGAAGCATGGCAGCATGCAGGTAGACATGGTGCTGGAGAGATAGATAAGAGTTCTATCTCCAGATCAGCAGGCATTAGGAAGAGAGTATGACACTGGGCCTGGCTTAAGCATCTGAAACCTCAAAGCCCACCCCCAGTGACACACTTCCTCCAACAAAGCCACATCTACTCCAACAAGGCCACACCCACTCCCTGCGAACCCATGGGAACCATTTTCATTTAAACCGCCACAGCTGCTACCCTTTCATCATTCCTTTGACTTCCTGCAGGCAAGCAGGCCAACACGGAGGAGCGGAAGGCTGCCCTCAAAACGGCCTCTGACTTCATCACCAAGATGCAGTACCCCAGGCAGACCCAGGTGAGGGTCTGAGGTCAGGGAGGAGCAGGTTCAGGGGTGGTAAGGGATGGAGGAGACCTCATCCTTCTTGGGGACTGAATGGACACTTGAGGTGCCCTAAGAGCCACGCTAGGCAGCCTTGCCACATCCTACTCCTCTCCCCATTTCCTAGGTTTCAGTCCTCCCAGAGGGTGGTGAGACCCCGCTGTTCAAGCAGTTCTTTAAGAACTGGAGGGACCCAGATCAGACAGACGGCCCAGGCCTGGGCTACCTCTCCAGCCACATTGCCAATGTGGAGCGGGTGCCTTTCGATGCTGCAACACTGCACACCTCCACCGCCATGGCCGCCCAGCATGGCATGGATGATGACGGCACTGGCCAGAAACAGGTATCGGAACCACGGTTTATTAGAGTAAAAGCCTGGCTCTGCCAGATTCCACAGGCCTGGAATTCCTCAGTCACCTGTCCCGTTACACCGGTTGAAGGATGGTGAAGGGCAGATGGGGGATTTTATCAATGTAGCCACATTGAGGAGAGCTAGAAAAGGGTCCTCATGATTCCCAAGTCCATCTTCACAGCATGGACATGAGCTTTAAATAGAGGGAGAGTTGGGGCTGGAGGTGTGTGTAAATAAGCAGTCCTGGTCAAAGTGTGGCCTGATTAATCACCTCAAATCTAGTTTGCAGGGAGGTCTAGGAGGTCCCTATGGTTAAGGCCAGTTAGACTTCAGGGTGCTGCCTCTCCCTCTTGAATAATCAGCATCATCTCGGGTGGGTGAGAAAGCTGCTCTTGCAGTGACACAGTTCCGGGCTGTGATTATCTCTGCCTTTAGCCTTGAAGGCAGGTGAGATAGGTCAGCAAGATGCCCCTTGAGGGAGTAATATATCTGCAAGCAGAGCTGAGCAAGTGACTCAGAGTAAGGGAGACCCAAGCCAAATGGAGGCCTAGACGCCCTTCCAGCTTCAGTTGCCCCTGGTCACAGGCAGGAGCCAGTGCTTTTTAACAAAAGCAGTTTCTGGATGCTTGTTATGGTATTGCTGTGCTTGGGCCAGCTCTGGCTGGATGCCCCCCCTTCCCTCCCTCCCAGGTACCCATGGCTCATGTCCCCACCCTCTGTCTCCCTGAGCATGTTTCTTTTATGTTTTCCACCAGTTATTGCAGATGAGATTCTTTTGTTCGACTTTGTTTGTTGGCGACAAGCATCCCCTGAGTACCTACTATGTGCCAGACTCTTTGCCAGACTCCTCCTTTTCCCTAGGAGTGCCTGGATGGGAGGGGAGGTGGCCACAGCCACAACAGAATCTTGAAGTCTGTTGTTCCCAGAGCTGAAAGGAAGCACAGGGGATTTTTGTGGGAACACAGGAAGGGCAGTGGCAATGGGGATATCACAGTAGTAGGGTTTACTGCTGGGGTGGGTATAGGGGACACATCCCAGGTGTGACCCACTATTTGAGGAAGACAGTGCTTATCCAAGTTTGGTGCTGATGCCATTCATGGGGTGTGGCAGTAATCAAGTATTTTGGGTTTTCCTTTCATCTTGTCTTTTTAGTGGGTGTATGGCAGATTTGGTCCCGGGCTTTAGAAACACACTGTAAGAATAGGTAGGAGGCAGAGAAACGAAGCTGGAATGTCTGGAAGGGGTGGTTGTGATGGTTTAGGGGAGAGATGATGCGGCACCTGGAACCAGTGCAGGTGGAGGTGTGTTCAGAGAGGTTCAGGACCCAGAGTCTGTTTCAGGCCTGGGCCCATTGTTTTCTAAGAGGCATACTACGGGATCATCTTTGTATGGCATCATTTCTGTCCTGGATACTAATCTTTTGTTACTCTAGGGTGTGGAGAGGAGACGGTGAAAGTATTTAGTGGACAAAGAGTTGAGCCTGGCTGAGTCTCCTGGGGCCACTCATGCAACCTCTCTGAGCCTCACTTGCTCTCTTGTAAAATGGGGTGGGTCAGAGTCTCCATTTTACCACCACCAGGTGTCACTGCAGGGCCTCCTGACGACTAAAGTCCTGTCACCGGATCTCTGCAGAGATCCGCCTGCAGGGGTCATTCTGAGGTCATCCAACTATGGCCCTCATGAGTGAGATGACCCATAAAATCCTAGTGATTCCATAACAATGAGGAGAATGGAAATGTTGGAGACGTAATGACAGTCCTTTTGCTAGCAGCTGATGCTCACAGCCTGCTTGTGGCACAGGGCATCATGCCATTTTCATGACTAGAATTTAAGGCTTCAAGGACTTCCCTTAACTGTTGTCATTGCCATCATGTTTCAGGAGTGAAAGCTGAGGCTCTGAGAGGTGATGTTGTCTGAAGTTATATGACCCCTCAAGGGCTGGGGGTTAGGTTTGACTCAGGCCTGACTCAGTCTTCTAATCTAGAGCTATCTTGAGGGGCCTCTCAGAAGGGAGCACAGGTCTAGCCAAAATGTGGTGAGAAGAACAGGAACCCTGGGGTCATGGCCCCGCCATGCCTCTCAGCAGCCCTGTGAGTGGGATAAATTATTTAACTTTGCTTGGGCCTGAATGGCACCATGCAACCATGAAAAGCTTGTCCTGTTATCTACACTGTCTACTATGCTGGGGTCACCAGCTAGTCCGAGGTGACAGAGGGACACACTGCAGTTATCTGACCCCAACTCTACCCCTGCAGATCTGGAGAATTGAAGGCTCCAACAAGGTACCAGTGGACCCTGCCACATACGGGCAGTTCTATGGAGGTGACAGCTACATCATTCTGTACAACTATCGACATGGTGGCCGCCAGGGACAGATCATCTACAACTGGTGAGGGACCTAGGCTGTCTGCTTGGTGTTAGTGGGAGTGTGTGGCTCCTACTGTGCCTGAATATGGTGACAAGAGGAAGAGAAATATGGTTGACCTCAGGGAGTCTGGATTATAGAGGCCTGAGTTCAGACAGCCATACCCTGCTGGGACCCATTCTCACCTAGAGTCACAACTCTAAACTTGCCATCGAATATGACATGCCCATCTTAGGGACAGAGACACACCAACCCAGCACCTCCTGCCAATCAATGACAAATCTTACTATCAGTTTATGCTCTCAGAGGCTTCCATTGTAGCAATATAGATGATTTTGTAGTACATAAACATGTAGTATTATTATATATGTCAATTACAATATTATTTAAATAATTGTTTTAAAGCAGAACATATAATCACATTGCTCCAAACCCAAGGCAGAGTCCAAAAGTGTCATTTCTGAACTTTTCATCCCACCTGTGCCCCTGTTGACTCAGCCACAAGCCCCGCCCTTTCCTCTTGACCAGTTTGGCGTTTTTATTTATTCTTTTCGCATAATTACTGGAAGGATATGTAATGTAAGCAAATGCTAAGTGTATTGGTCTGTGGCTTGCCTTTTGGCTACAGCCTTCCTGGAAACTGACAGCTTCCTGATGTAGGTGTGCATGTCTAACAACTGTACCATGCCTTTGGGTTGCTATACCACCATTTATCAACGAGCTCCCCACACCCATGCATACTTGTGTGCTAGTCACCTGATCTCATCAGCACCGTCAAGATTAATAACTGTTAGCAAACAGTCAGATATTTAGAGAAGTCTCTCTGTGTTGAGTTCCCAGAAATAGATCGCCAGATCAGTGTCAATGGACCTGTCATTTTGATAGATAGCCCCGGTTTCAAATTCCTGTATTCCTGCCAGCTACATGCAAGAGTCCCTGTTTCCCTGGCTCCACCTCAGCAGACTGTACTGTTAAACTCATGGATTTTGGTCTGATAGTTTATAAAGTGGTATCTTATTGGACTTTAACTTTGTATTTGGGGTCAGGAGAGGCAGAGCACTTTCATAGATCCAGGTAGCTCTGGGTCACTCCCCTAGCACTGAAAAACAAACATTAAGAAAATGATGGTAGCTCATACTGTTAATAGCAGCACTCAGGAGGCAGAGGCAGGTGGATCTCCATGACAGGAGGCTAGCCTGGTCTACAGATCAAGTTCTAGGACAGCCAGGGCTACACAGTGAAACCATGTCAAAAGAAAAGGAAGGAGGGAGGGAGGGAGGGAGGGAGGGAAGGAGGGAAAGGAAGGAAGAAAAGAAGGAAGAAAGGAAGGAAGAAGGAAGGAAGGAAGGGCGGGAAAGAGAATGGTGTCCCTATTACTAGACAGTTTCAGACTGTTATCTAATAGTTGTTGAATTTCTTCTTTGTTAAAGTTTTCATTTTGAAATAATCTTAGACTCACTGAAAAGTTACAGAAATAAAAATATCCAATTATCTGGCCAATTCTCATATCCGAACTGCCCCGCCTGCTTCACTTCACAGCCCTGGCAGCTGTGGGCCAGGCAGATTCAGGGCTGTGCACTTGTCTGCGTCTACTCCAGTATCAATGTCTCTCCGTTCCTGTGGCTTTTCTGGCCCAGGCCCTAACCCAAGACCCTATGGGACATCTCTAGGGCCTAGGATCCCACAGGGTGTTTTTTCCTTGTGTCCCCTAAGTCCTCTGGCATCTGTGACACACCCTGCCCTTTTCCTTGATGACCATAAACCCCTGAAGAGTGATGCTCAGGTATCATGTACCTGAACTCAGTTTAACAAACCCATACTTTTTTTTTTTTCAAGACAGGGTTTCTCTGTGGCTTTGGAGGCTGTCCTGGAACTTTCTCTGGGGACCAGGCTGGTCTTGAACTGATAGAGACCCCCCTGCCTCTGCCTCTCGAGTGCTGGGATTAAAGGCGTGCGCCACCACCGCCTGGCCAAACCCATACTTTTAAAGCAGCTGCATTTACAAACTAGATAATACACATACTATTGGGAAGGACATGGAGGGGGACAGAGATTGAGCCCAGATCTTGGACATACTAGGCAAGCCACTACCATTATCTATAATGTCCCCATGTGGCTATGTCTGATGTCTTTCCCTACAGATGGCACATATCACAGCTGCTGTTTCTGACCTGTCTTTATATACAGGGAGATGACTACTTTTGTATATTTTGCTTTTGAGTCATGGTATCCTCTCATAGCTGTCCATCAGGGGATGACCCAGGGAATTCTCCACAGGCACATTTAGGATGAGGAAATCTACCTATTATACTAGGACCTGAATAAGAAGACAGTCTGCTGAGCTAGGGGTGGGCAGGATGGTGAGGCTGTTGTCTGGTCCTCCTACAGTCCCCATGCTTCTCCATCCTAGTTCCATCCCTACAACAAGGAGGCTTGTAGGTTGCTGGAGCTCAGGGAGAGGAAGAGGCCCAGGGCTCTACACAAACTAGTGCTGAGTCTCTCTCCCTCTTCTAGGCAGGGTGCCCAATCTACCCAAGATGAGGTTGCTGCGTCCGCCATCCTGACTGCCCAGCTAGATGAGGAGCTGGGAGGAACTCCTGTCCAGGTGAGCCAGAACAGTGCCTCTTAGGACTTCAGCCAGGGCTTGGTCTGTCTGTTCATTTACCTCCCTAATTATTCATCCACTCATCCATATATCTGCCCACTCATCATCCATCCGTCCATCCATCCATCCATCCATCCATCCATCCATCCATCCAATCATCCATCTGTCTATGTATGCACCTACCCATGCAACAAATATTTATACAGGGTTTTCTATGTACTAGGCTTAATATCTGCATCCAGATATATAGACACTGTCTATACTGGGCATTGTCTCCATACTCTCCCTTGGTTGTGCAGCAGGGGTGATACAGTTAGTTCCTGCCGAGCACATTTAGGAAAAGGAAATCCACATGCTGTGTTTAGGTATAAGAAAGAAGATAAGCCAGGGACAGGGGAGAGTTGGGAGGTTGGGTCTGTGTTGGGTATAGTAGTGCCTCCAACTCTGGAAGGCCCTTTGCATCCCTCCACCCTCTCACTTGTCTAGGACCGACATCAGTATTCTGGGAGAATGTATCCAAGCAATCTATCCTTCCTTTTAAGGTCATATTTGCAAACTTGTGCTCCCCTGGTTCTTGGACCAGACTCAGGGCTGCAGGGCAAGTCTTCACAGAGGCGGAGGGTGGGAAAACAGCCAAGACAGGAACTAGGGACAGTTGGCAGTGACATCATCTCCAGCTTGCCCTACTCAGTGTTCTGGTGCTGCCATAGTCAGATGTGGTAGCCTTTCTGGAGGGAATGGCCCAGGACCACATAGAAAAGCTGATTTTGGGGGGTAGAGAAATGGCTCAGTGGTTAAGAGCACTTGCTGCTCTTCCAGAAGACTTGGGTTCAATTCCCAGCACCCACAAGGCCGCTCACAATTGTCTGTAACTCCAGTTCCAGGGACTCCAACACTCCCAGCAAAACACTGATGCATATAAAATAAATAAATTATTAAAAAGGAAGGAAAACAAACCTATTTTCTCCTCTCTCACTGCCAGAGCCGAGTGGTCCAAGGCAAAGAGCCTGCACACCTCATGAGCTTGTTTGGCGGGAAGCCCATGATCATCTACAAGGGTGGCACCTCCCGAGATGGTGGCCAGACAACGCCCGCCAGTACCCGCCTCTTCCAAGTCCGAGCCAGCAGCTCTGGAGCCACCAGAGCCGTTGAGGTAACACCAAGTCCCAGAATGTGGGCAGGATTGCCCTCCTGATATCTTCTAGGCCCATTCGGTAGACCTCCAGTGGCTCAGGGTTGATGGGCCTGTGTGAGATGAGGAAGCAGATTTTCAGGGCATCCTGCCCTGGCAGCCCCATACTCTATCAGGGCTGGACTGCGTTTCTGATCCCACTGTAGTAGACCACAGTGGTCTCTTCACTGTGGAGAATCACTCTATTACCTACTTGTTTTGAACATTCACCTTCTGTTAATGCAGCCCCAAATTCCAGATCATTCTTACTCATCGCAGTGCATCCAGAAGTGTGGGTGTTAGCCTGAGCTCTCCATGTCCAAAGTATGCTCTCCATCTCTAAGGAGAAGAAGTCTATATGCTGCAGGGTCCCTGGCCTGTCAGGAGGGCTGGGTTGTGTTTCCATGTTCCTGATTGAGTGCTGCCTGCCCCATCCACCTCCAGGTGATGCCTAAGGCTGGTGCTCTGAACTCCAATGATGCCTTTGTGCTGAAGACCCCCTCAGCTGCCTACCTGTGGGTGGGTGCAGGAGCCAGTGAGGCAGAGAAGACTGGGGCTCAGGAGCTGCTGAGGGTGCTGCGAGCCCAGCCTGTGCAGGTGGAGGAAGGCAGTGAGCCAGGTGAGAGCTGGGGCCCACCACTTCCTCCACACCCTTCACATGTGTTAAATGGGAGCGGAAGGATAAAATGAGCATGATGGCCAATGACAGGGTCATCTCCAGTCACTGAAGGAAGGAGAACTTGGTGTAGACGGTCGAAGAGGGCCTCGGGAATTGATGACAGGGGTGACAGTGTCAGTGCATGTTCCCCTCACCTTTCAAACTACAGAGAGGAAGGCATCAGCCCTCACGGTCTTTTCTGTTGATACTCAGAACCCTTTTTCTTGATATCCCATGGAAGCGGTGAAGGGTAGCTTGGTCTGCAGCCTCTCTGCCCAGCAGAAACTGCTATTAGGATAGAGGTTCTGTGCTTCCTAGCCCCAGGTTGGTGGCTGATGCTCACTGTGGCTTTTGAATACCTGAAATGTGGGAATGAGTGGACATGTGGTAATGGCCCCATACAGACAGAATACACGCAGACCGAGCAGGTATTGTAGCAAGAATATGGAAATTGGACTTAGAAAAGATTTGCATCCTGGCTTTGCCATTCCCAGGCTGTGTGAATTAGGTGAATTGCTGTGTCTGGGCCTCTATGTGCTGGGTGGAGATAATTAGTCCTGTCCTGTAGGGCTGTTGTCTCTGCCATGTGTTTTATGCCAGCTTGCCCTCTCCGGGCCTTTCTGTTCCCTTCTGCTAAGTTCAGCTTTCTGAACTTGAGCCCTTGGGATCTTGAAATGGAGAGCAGCCAGCTGGACCTGGGGTCTGGTGAGATGTGCTTATGGGCCATGGTTTCCCTCGGCAACTAATGTGACCTCCCCTCGTAGATGGCTTCTGGGAGGCTCTAGGTGGCAAGACTGTTTACCGCACATCCCCAAGGCTGAAGGACAAGAAGATGGATGCCCATCCTCCTCGCCTCTTTGCCTGTTCCAACAGGATCGGGCGTTTTGTGGTGAGTCTGGAGGTGACACCTCTGCTGTGCCTAGGGAAGTAGGTGGGTTCGGGAGTCAATTAACCTCAGAACCTGGACACACAGTCTGTTAGCCCAGTGCAGGGGAAGGGTCCCTGAAGGCAGGACCAGCTCTGCGTACTCATCCTGGGAACCAATGAGGGTGTGATGCTTCTTGACCTTCTCTGACTCTTCTCAGATCGAAGAGGTTCCTGGGGAACTTATGCAGGAAGACCTGGCTACTGATGATGTCATGCTCCTGGATACCTGGGACCAGGTGAGTGAAGGAGAGAAGGAGAAGGCCAAGGTAGAGGGAGAGGTTGGACTCTTAGCTCCAAGATGATGAGCCACAAGGAGGGGATAAAGGAGGAAACACCAGGTGTTTCCAGGGAGGTCCTGAACGGCTGTAAGCCATGGCCCCTCTTCTGAGCCTCCATCTCCTCAGATGTAAAATGGAAGCGGAGGGATATGCCTGGCAGGTGCATGGCCGCTGGAAACTGTAAAGCACGTAGAAACCCAGCTTGCACAACCCTGCATTGTGCTCTTCTCCCCTTATTCTCAGGGGAGTGTGAATTCTGGCTTTAAGTCTGTATGAAGAAAGCTGAACTTAGCAGTGTGTCATGTGCAGGTATAAGCTGCCCAGCGTATTAAGGCTTGTCACTGGGTTTTCTCATGTCTTCTGCTAGGGAAGCGGCTGTGGAGGACCCAGCAGGGATGACATTCATTCATTCATTCATTCATTCATTCATTCACTCACCTAGCATCAATTGAGCATAAGAACAGTGCTCTGTGGAGAATGCTGGGAATGAAGGATTGCATCAAGTTGATCATCTCTGCCCCACTCTGGGATGTTACCCCCATGGGAAAACCAGCTTAATAACCGCTTCTATCAAGTGCCTGCTCCCAGCATCCTCCAGGCTGTAGAATGCCTGGACACAAAGGCCCAAGCCTGTCTTTCTCCCCTGGGGCAGCTTTGGGGCAGCTCAGTGAGAGAATCGGTGTATTGCAGTGATTATAAGTGAAGCAAGCTGGGGTGAGGAGACATGAGGAATGGTGTAGCCTGAGGCAAACTGGACCTGCCCACCGAAGGGCAGCTCCATCCCAGTGAAGGTGATGGCCCAGCTTCCAGGTCCTCCTGTGTTGTTTATCTTCAGCACAGCGACTGTGCTGTAATCTACTCCTATTTCAGTCAGCAATTGCAACTCCACAGTCATTGTCCTGCTTCTCTGGCAGCCTGGTGGGAATCCGTTCCCCCAGGTAAAGGTGGCTTTAACTAAATCTCTTATCACTCTGTTTATAAATGAGACTTGAGAGTCAAAGGCTGGCGTGAAAACCTTTGAGCTCAGAGAAGTTGAGTAGCAACTAGCTAACCTCTATTTGTGCAGGCCTCTCCCCAAAAAGCCTGTATTCTGGCTCTGCCAAAACAAGCTGTGCCCCTCCTCCTTCTGTCACATCCTCCTTGCCGGCCTCTCCCCAAAAAGCCTGTCTTCTGGCTCTGCCAAAACAAGCTGTGCCCCTCCTCCTTCTGTCACATCCTGGATGCCCTCTGAAGCTCAGTGGTTACTTTCTGTCAACTAGTTGCCAACTCAGCCTCCTGACCCAAGGTCAACTTTATTTAATTAATGCAAATGCTAACTTGGGGTTCACAGTGTGATCAATAGCCCCCAACACTCTTGTGGTTTAGGGAGAAGTTGGAAAGCCAGACTCACATGCCATCATTGATAACCAAATTCAAAGACAATGCTATTCTAGGCCAACACATGTTAATGGCAAGTGTGCTTGAAGGCCACTGCCTTGCCTCCTCCCCCCATCTGTCCCATACCTTTCCAGTCGCTGTCTAAAGGCTGTTGGCTGTTGGGGCTTGTGTCTTTTTCTGACACCCAGGCCACCTCCACCCTTGTTCTTTATCTGGCAGTGATTGTCACCAGCACCTCTCATGTGATTTTCATTTCACATCTCGCCTCCAGGTCTTTGTCTGGGTTGGGAAGGACTCACAGGAAGAGGAAAAGACAGAAGCCTTGACATCTGGTGAGGATCCAAAGCTCTAGGATGGTGGGGTCTCTGGCTGTGGGTCTTTGGCTATGGGTGGGGGAGGAGTCATTAGCGGTGGGTGGGGTCTTTGGCTGTGGATAGGTGGGAGCAGCTTCTGATGCTGTTCTAGGAGTTAGCATTATTTGGGGTGTTGTCCCAGTGGCCTTTTGTGACTACCTGAGGCAAGCAGTTCATAATGATGAAGGTTTATTTTGAAAGTTTCCACCCAGGTCGATTGACTGGTGATTTGGAGCCTGTGGTGAGGCATTGAGTTGGGGAGTGTTTACAGAGTAAGGCCATTGGGACTTGGAAAGGGAGATGAAAGGGTGAGGACTCACATCACCTTCAAGGGCATGCCTCAAGGAGCAGAGGATACCACCTCTTAGAGTTCTCACTGTGCCCAGGCTAAGGACCAAGGCTTTGAGGGACATTCCAGGTCTAAGCTATGGCAGTGTGAAGAGATAAATGTGTCCTTTCAGAATGCCTGAGGGTTTCCCCGGGGGAAGAAAGGAACAGAGGCCAGTCCATTTCCAATTCCCAGGATGCCCAGGGATTCCCTTGTTAGGGTACCTATGTGGAAAAGCAGGATCTTGGTAGCTAATCTGGAGGCTGACCTCCAAGACTGGTTTCTTTGTTTAATATCTTAATCACCAGGGGGAAATGATACACTAGGGAAGGGCAGAGAACTTTGTAAAGCAGGAATTTAGGTGGAAGTTCCTGTTCTTCCTGTGTTGGGGGCAGTCCACGTGAGGTCTTTCCTTGTAAGCGATGGTGGTGGTCAGTAGGCTTGAGAGCATATTCTCTTGCAGTCTCTACTCTCCCTGAGGAGGAGACACTAAGAGTCCCTGGGTTTCTTTTCCATGTGTGTCTGCAGCTAAGCGCTACATCGAGACAGACCCAGCTAATCGGGACAGGCGGACCCCCATCACTGTCGTGAAGCAGGGCTTTGAGCCTCCATCCTTTGTGGGTTGGTTCCTCGGCTGGGATGACAACTACTGGTCGGTGGATCCCTTGGACAGGGCCTTGGCTGAGCTGTCTGCCTGAGTAAAGGACCAGAGCCACCAATGTCACCAGTCAGTGCCTTTGAGAATTGTCCACCTCCCAAAGAGATCATATGGCAAGCGGGAAAACTATGTAGAGTGTATGTGTGTGTGTGTTTAGTTTTTTGTGTTTTGTTTTTTTCTTTTTTTACAGTAGCCCTGGGAAAAGTGAGGGTCTGTACAAAATTGCCTCAAGTATTCATGCTTTGGAGATTAAGCTCAATAAAAGCCTTTGAAGTGTGTTCTCCTAGCTGTGCCGCTGTTTTCCTCATGCCATGGCCCACGCACCCAATAGTCATAGTCTCTGAAGCTGCTTCTAACCCTGAGCATTCTGAGGTGCTTCCCATGGGCTGTGAGCCAGCAGATGAACTCCGCCCACCTTGTGTGTTCATCTTGGTCCTTGAGAAGCTGATGGCACACTACTGAGGAGTGTCCAGGTTTGCTTCTGTTGTGATAAGAACACTGACCAAAAGCAATGTGGGGAGAACATGGCTTCTTTCACTCTGGCTTATAGCCTGTCATGAAGGAGGTCAGGGCAGGATTTCAAGGCAGGAACCTGGAGGCAGGAACTGAAGAAGAGGCCATGGAGGAGTGCTGCTTACCGGCTTGCTCCCCAAGGCTCGCTTATACAACCCAGGCACCACTTGTAGTGGGCTGGGCCCTTCCCCATCAATTATTAGACAAGAAAATGTCTCCACAGACTTCCCTACAGGCCACCCGTAGATGCAATTGCTCAGCTGAGGTTCCCTTGTCCCAGGTGACCCGAGCTTGTGTCTAGTAGACAAAAACAAAACAAAAAACGGGAAGCCGGCAACCAAGAGGCAAGCTGACCAAGGAAAGGAAGGAAGGAAAGAAGCCAACTAGAAGAGACCTGCTCACCATTTAGTACCACAGTGTTTGTTTTGTTTTAATTCCATGGTATGATCTGTTTTTGTTTCTTTTTTCGGGGTTGAATCCCAGATCCTGTGCAAGTTAGCCAAATGCTACACTCCTATCTCGTTATCTCTGTCTCTGTCTCTGTGTCTCTGTCTCTGTCTCTCTGTCTCTCTGTGTGTGTGAGAGAGAGAGACAGAGAGAGACAGAGAGAGAGAGGGTGTTCCTTCTCGCCTACAATATGTGGGTTCTCGGGATGGAACTCGGGTCACCAGAGAGAGAGACAGAGAGAGACAGAGAGAGAGGTATTCCTTCTCGCCTACAATATGTGGGTTCTCGGGATGGAACTCGGGTCACCAGGCTTGAGCTGTAGGTGCCTGTACCCTTTGAGCAGCTTCACCTCCCCCTCCCTGAACTCTGTTCTATTTTACTGTGAGAAAAGGTCTCACTAAGTTGTCCAGGTTTTATTTGAATTGCAAATCTCCTCCTCGGTCTCCCCCAGACTGAGATTCTAAGCATGTGACACCAAGCCCAGTTTTTTGCGTTTTGTTTATTTTTTTTATTTTTTTTCATAGTAAGCATTGTTTGACAGAGTAATTTTAATCAGTCTTAGGCATACAATTCAGTGATATTACACAGATATGTAATGTGATGTAAGCTGTAACCACTGCCTGTACCCAAACTTTAAAAACATTTTAAAAAGATTTTTAATTTTATGTGTAATAGTGTTTGCCTGTGTGTATATATGTGCACCATTTGTGTGCAGTGCCCGAGCAGGTGAGAAAAAGGAAATCTAACTTCTGGAACTGGAGTTGTAGACACTTAGGAGCTGCCCTGTGGGTACTGGGAATCTAACCTGGGTCCTCTTGAAGAGCAGCCAGTGCTCTTAGCAGTTGACCTGTCTCTCCAGCCCAATCCATACATTTTTATAACCCTCAATCTAAGAGTTTAATGATATTAATAAATTATAATAATACTGTTTTTTTGTTTGTTTGTTTGTTTTTGCCAGGCATTGGTGGTGCAGGCCTTTAATCCCAGCACCAGGGAAGCAGAGGCAGGCAGATCTCTGTGAGTTTGAGGTCAGCCTGGTCAACGGAGCAAGTTCCAGGACAACCTCTAAAGCAATACAGAGAAACCCTGTCTTGAAAAACCAAAATAAATAAATAGTTACTGGTTTTTCAAGACAGAGTTTCTCTGTGTAGTCCTGGCTGACCTGGAACTAGCTCTGTAGACCAGGCTGGCCTCAAACTCACAGTGATCCACCTGCCTCTGCTTCCCAAGTGCTGGGATTAAAGGTGTGCACTTACTGCTCCTTGCTTCTAAGTTCTTATTATTAAATAATAATCCTCCATTTCTCTTTCCATTGCCCTGGGAAATCTCTATTCTTTTGGCCTCAATAAATTTGCCTATTCTGCATATCTCACCTAAGAGGAGTCATGCAATATTTATTGTCTGTGTCCGGCTTATTTACTTAGAATCATGCATTCAAAAGCAGCCTTTGATCTACATTTATGGGTGAATACTATTCCATTGTATGTACCTATGTCATCTAATTTATCCATTCATCCCCCTTGGGTGGTTGAATTATTCTACCTTTTGACTATTGTGCACAATGCTGTTGTGAATTCAGGGCACAAAAATATATTCTTTGAATGTTCTGTCAAATGTTCTGAGCCAGCTGTCAAATGAGTTGTGTATCTCCCAAGAGCATGTGAGTTTTGCTTCTCTGATCCTGTGCACTGTCATTAGGAGGAGGCTTGGCCTTGACAGAGTAGGAAGTGGACAAGGTGTGTTGTCATAGAGACACCTCCTGTGGTGTTTGCCTGTACCTGTTTTCTACAGCTGGTCCCTTCTGTTCATTCTATTACTCAAAACACTCTTTGGTTGTCCAATGTGGTTCCTCTAGGCATGAATCTCGACTGGTCTTCAGAGCATCAATACTCCCTCTTGGGCGCTCCCAGGAATTGCTTCAAAAGCTTTGTTCCTGGAGGTGCCAGACCAGTGCAAGGGACTCAAGGACAGAGCCTGTCCCCTCTCTTCTTTCCTTTTAGATTCTTCTGGCCACCTTTTCCCATCATGGCCATGCCACTCCATGTTATAGAATGGAACTTGTGTATATGTGTGGCGGGGGGGGGGGGGGGGGGGGGGGGAAAAGACAGAACCCAGGGGAGGGGTTGGGTGGGGGGGGGAGAGTTGTATTTACACTGTTGTTTCCAGCTCTGGCTGGGCCCAGAAACTGTCCAGGGAGCTTTTTAGAGGCATGGCTCCCGTGGGGCCCTGTCTCCAGAGGTTCTGCGTCATTGCCAGAGCGATGAGGGCAACAGAGGAGGAATTTTCCAAGTGGAAGAGGAGATGGATTGGGGGTGAAGGCAGGTCATCGCAAGCAGGGGTCTAGCAGAAACAAAGATGGGGTGCTGTGGGGACAGGGGTGCACTCAGGGCAGACATGGAGAAGCAGCTTGGGAGTGAGCAGTGGGCAGGAGCTTTGAACACTGTGCCAAGGGTCTTGGACTCTGTTCTATGCCTGCCTTGTTTACCTCCAAAGGGTGGCTCTTGGTAGGAAAAGCAATTGGCCCGACAAGGGTAACACACTGAAAATGCTTAGCAGGAGGGGAAACTGCTCCTAGGGCCTGGGAGATAAAACAGTTCATCTTGGAGAGAAACTCACGAAGCTCCACCCATTAAACTCCAGAAGTAAACAACAGAAAAGTTTCAGAAAGTTCCTGAAGCTGACCAGATCCATTAGGGCTCTCCCTGCCCAAGTTTATGCAAGCTGCTGGGAGATGTGCTCAGAGAACCCAGGCTGCCCCAGAGACGCTCAATATTCCAAGCCTGGAAGATACACCTCTCCCACCTGTAAGCTCTGTGAGCTCCAGGTTCCCCAGGTTCTGCACTGTCACCCATGCTGGGGTGAGTGTTGGTGATGCAGCTGTCTCTGAGTCATTTCTGCAGCTGTTAGTGACCCCAGTAAACCCATTTGGTTCATCAGGTTGAACTTTGGTGGTCTCCTGCAGAGTTGCCTCTTAATCTGGGAGAGCAGATGTGTGTTCACACCTTGCCAGGGTCAGTGTCCTACAACAGCACCTTCCTTTCAGGGAGACTGAGGTTGCTGTGGACAAAGCCAGGTTACTTCCTTGAAATCCGTGGGTCTGGCTTAACCCAATGTAGGATTCCTGCTAAGTGGTGGAAAATTAGATGTATAGATCCTAGTGCATTGTGGGAATAAGCCTGCCCTGAGCTGGGTTGAAGTGGATGCAGAACCAGCCCAACCCAAGTTGCCTCATGAACATCTGTGAGAGTTCAGAGTCCAGGGGCTTTGGTGTCTGACTCAAACCATTACAGGTCTAGGTTTCCCACTGGCTCTGTTGGCTTTGAACCTCAGAAAGGTAGTAAGGTGTCTACAGACATTTTAGTTCTCAACTATGCATCAGCAAGCTGAGGGAAAGACAAATTCATTGTCTGTAAATGTTTTCTCTGTAGAGAGAGAATGAGCTGCTTCCAAGTCCACAGAAAACCTTTCTTCAGTTCTTAGGAATCCTCATGTCCATTCCTGGCCAGATCACAGTCATCTGGTTGCTGGTTGAATTTCTCTTTTCCTAAGCATTCTTAGTGGGATCCCAGGGAACAAGGCAGAGGTTCTGAGGCAAGTCGACACAGTGGATGGCTATTTTGTTGACTCTTTTGGGGGCCAGATGCTAAAAATAAAAACCTTAGCAGTAGACTCCTACTGCTTTGTGGTGTATAGTCATTCCCATAGGGTTCAATTTCCAAACCGTTTCTTCCTCCCCCAGAAACATCTTAAGGATTTGTTTACTTGTATTTTTGAGCATTTATCTGTGTGTACATGTGCACCACATGTGTGCCTGGTACTTAAGTCAGAGAGTATTGGGTCCCCTAGAACTGAGTTGCTGCTGGTTGTGAGCTGCCTGTCATGACAGGTCAGATAGTGTAGAGGTTCCTCATCTTGTATTTTTGCTGAGACTATTTCAGCTTTAACCAGAATTTTGTCTTTTTGATGGAGAATCCCATGGACATTACCCAGCTTTAGTCTAGGAACCCAAGGTCAGGACGTCCCAGCTAAGTTATCTTAGTGTCGGGTCAGCTGCCTGCTTGTGCTGAACCTCCTCCAGCTAACTGTTACAGCTTTTGTACAATTGCTTGTTTCTGCAAAGCCTACCTCGAAGCCTGGGCAGGCTGCCACAATGTCATTTCTGCCTTCAGAAACCTCATGCTCTGGACACTCAAGGATACATCTGGGTCCCCAAATACCTGTCCCAGACAGCTAAAGACTTTCAACTGGTTATAAACTATGCCTGAGTGGTCATCTATGGTGAACACCCCATAACTATGTGGGTGCTGGAAGGGAGCCCAGGTTTCTTTGCAAGAGGAACAAGTTCTAACCTTTGAGTTATTGCTCTAGTCCCTTACCCAAGAATCTTTAAAAAATATATTTTGTTTTGTGTGTGTGTGGGGTGCGTGTACATGGCATGGCAGATCTGTGGAGATCAGAGGAAAACCTGTGGGAGTTGGTTCTCTCTTTCCACCGTGTGTGTCCTGATGATTTGAACTCAGGTGCCGTTGCTCACTGAGCCACCTTACCGTCCCTCCCTCAGAACCTTTTAGGGAAGACCCTCAGCTTTTGTTGAGTGCTAAGTCTCTAGATTCCTAGAACCTCAGTTTTAACAATGGTTTTCAACTTCCTCTCACAGAACCCCTCTGGTTACAGGGCAGACCCCAAAACAGCTGCGTGCATCATTTTAGTGTCTCCTTTAGACAAACCCGAGCCTCATCTGAGCTTGGAGCTGCTCTATACTTGATGTCATGGGCATCATTGTAAGAGACGAGTAGCTCTGATGAATTCAGAGATTATTCTCCTTGGCCTGGTCCTATACATACCACTTCCTGAGTGTAATCTTTAGTTTGTACAAAGCTGTTCTAGGTAACTGGGTATTCGTTCGTAGAGTTAGGATATAGGGATAAGTTGTTCAGGAGTTTTGATGTCCTCCCAGGCACAGTAGCTGGATCAGTGTTCCCCTCCGCCCCTCCTTAACTATGCAAGTTTGTGTCCTCCCCCATATGTGCACTTTTCAAAGATGCTCTGCAGCTTTTAACACACTCTCAAAATGACAGCAGATAGGAACCATCCAAGGTTGTGGTGCAGACTGGATGGTGCAGGGGGAGAAACCCTCAGTTGCACGATATTCAAGCTGGGAATCTGTAGATTCCTATGAGGGACTTCTGTGATCTTACAAACAGGATTGAAACTCTAAGTGGTAAGAAAACCCAATGCTAAGAAACAGAGCTGAGTGGAGAACCGAGTTGAGGTCACCTTCTGTAGCCAATTAACAGCCTCCCTGTTTTCACTGAAGCACTAAGTGCTATGGATGTGGACACACTGGAGAGAAATAAAGGTTTGCTGCTAAAAAGCGGTGGTCAGGCATGAGAAGACAGTGTGGGGACTCACAGGGTGGTAGCCAGGCATGGGAAGACAGTGTGGGGACTCACAGGATGGTAGCCAGGCGTGGGAAGACAGTGTGGGGACTCACAGGATGGTAGCCAGGCGTGGGAAGACAGTGTGGGGACTCACAGGGTGATAGCCAGGCGTGGGAAGACAGTGTGGGGACTCACAGGTGGTAGCCAGGCGTGGGAAGATGGACAGTGTGAGAACTCACAAGAAACAATATTCTTGAAAGTACAATAACCCTGTGTTTTGTGTTTTCTTTTTTTCTATTCAGGACTGTGTTGTGAACATGTTGTTACAGACTTTCAGCCAACTCCTCTCTTTGTCCTGAATCAGTAAGGTTTGAGAACCTAAAACTGAAGTTAAGATTTAAGGGTCCCTCAAATATAAATGCAGAGTCAAGCAAAATTCTTAAGGCAACAGTGCAGAGGGAAACAAGACTCCCACAGAGGAAAACTGGTTACAGGGAACACACTTTATTGTACACAGCTGAAGGCGAGGACTTGGGAAAACCCTCACACCATCACCATTCCCCATAGCTCGATTTTTTCCACCCCTCACTGCGACTGAACTTCAGCCTACTGAGTTACTAATTCACTAGCACAGAAGCAAAGGCCGGTTGGTGTCTGGAGGGAGAAATTTAGAGAACAAGTGTACCATACATGTACATATGGTACATTACCATACATGTACCATACAGGACATGGGTTTTCTTGGTTCTTAGTGGAAGGCGAATCACATCCAAACAGATGAAACCACCATTTTAAGTTCAAAATGTAAATGCAACTTGAGTCCTGGGTGGAAATGCTCTCCATTCACCTCTAGAAAACCCAGCTGGGTTCAAGGCTCAGAATTGGGGTGTGAGGGATGGAGGGAGGGAGGTTCCACGTGGCTCTGGCAGTGCACAGCTATGGCGATGTGAACAGAGCTGCTCCTGCCACAGGAAGCCATGCTTTCAGGCTTCTCCAGGTGAATTAAGAGCCTTAATGATGCTGCAAAAGTCATCACCAAGCTTTCCAGGCCAAGGGGAAGGTGTCACAATAAGAAACTGTGGTCCAGAGGGACCGGCCACTTCCTCTACTGGCATCAATGTTTTATATGAAAATAACAACAACAACAACAAAAAAACCCTAGTCACACATGTGTTCTCCCTCTGCACCTAGAGCTCAGCACTGTGTCTGTGCAGGATTAGGGATGATTAGGGATGACAGGATCAGGGGTGACATGATCATGTGCTAGGAATTCCTTAAACTATATAAGTAGGATTAGTAATCACAATATTTCACAGTATATAATAGTTAATAGTATGCAGAGAGCAAAATATAATGGTTTTCTTAAGATTTTTTAAAAAGTACTTTGGTACTTAAACTATTCAAATAGGCATATAACAATTATTTATAGAATGTAGAAAGTTATTTTTAAAAATCAAAATGATTTAAAAACCTGATACATGAAATAGGCAAAAGTGAGAAAAAGCACTTCTGTGACAGTAATTTAGCTGCTTTTAAAGGCAACACAGAAAGTTGGGGGAGGGACTCGAAGGGTTTGTAAAAACTGCAAATTCTATTTTCAAAAGGACCCCACAGTGGAGAAGTACCGTCACAGGAGGGCCAGCTGGGCCTCCTCATTGACGCTGACCATTTTTTTTTTCGGGTTCTGACAGGGTCATGGGAGAGGACAGGATTATTCCAAAACACAGTTTGGGCTTAGGTTGGGTGGAGGGACACTGGGGATTCCCTGAAGGGAAGGCACAGGTGGCCCAGAGAAGAGGGTGACACAGTCTTCACTGCGCAGAGACAGCACGGGGTGGGGGGTAGGTAGTATGTCTGGGCTATACCCCTTGCCCTGGCTTGACGCTCACATAGGGCTTGGAACGACTTAAAGTTAGAAGGGGGCTCCAGCCTACCACAGAATAGAGACACAGCCATAGGTAAAGAGTAAGGTTATCTATCGTACATAAATCACCATCTCTCTTGGCATTTACAAGCCAGTGAAATCCAGAGTCTTGGGCATGCTAAGCAAGTGCTCTACTACTGAGTTACACTCCTAACTCCAAAGTGAGTCTCTCAGCTGCTCTTAGGACTCCTGTCCCTTCTAAGAGCCCCTCACTCTACATACAGAAACAGGGAAGGATGGGGACAGTCAAGCTTCCTGCTAATCTCCCTGCGAGTGAAAGGCTAATTTGGCTCCCACTTTACCTCGGGAGGGATTCAGCACAGTTCTACAGTGCTACTTGTTCTGTTTGGAACTCATGAGGCCCTGCAACATATCGATGGGCAGAGGGAAGACAATGGTGGAGTTTTTCTCCGCAGCGATAGTGGTCAGTGTTTGAAGGTACCGGAGCTGAAGGGCCGCAGGAGACTCGGTGATAACGATGGAAGCTTCTTTCAGGGCTCTGGATGCATTCATTTCCCCCTCAGCTGCAATCACCTACAGAGGGGGAGAAGAGGTGAGTTGGCAAATAGCATGGTGCCACCCAGCAGTCATTGTGTCTGGTTCATATGCCTTAGGCAGCATACGGGACTTCCTGGGAATCCATCAACTCTTAGACACTCAGTGCCAGATGTTCTTTCTCTTGAAACTGACTTGCTTAAGATGTGTCTGGCTCAAGGCATTGTCTTTTATTGCTGCCTGTCTCCCATTGAACAGGGAATCACAGTCGTATTGAACAGGGCTTTGAACAGTTCACAGCAAAGGGGTGAGTGACCGACTGCACGTCAGGTGGAACTCAAAGAAAGGAAAGGCTTTATTGAACCAAAACCTAAAAGATCTTGTTTGATAAAAGATGGCAGTATGAGTTTTAGCACACTAACTTGTGTGCATGCTAGGGGGTGCATGACAACAAACAAAAGCTCCACCTATTGATATAAGTAAAGTTTCTTAGCTCTATAGTAGCAGGTACTAACCATCCACATACATGGGAGTGACCCCTCACATGCTGCCTTCAGAGGAGAGTATCTAGGAGAGGATTCATTTAGGAGAAAGTCTGAAACACTCCAGAGCCCTCTTCATATCTACAGGAAGCCTTCATTCTAGCCCATCCTAGACACATTGCTGTAGGACGATAAAATAAGTTGCCTTGGTCATGGTGTGTCAGCACAGCAATAGAAAAGTAGCTAATCCACTCCTCTTGAAATGGGACAGCATTTCCTGGCGTCATGGTGCGGCGGACAGAGCCAGGAAACCAAGTGCTGAATGAGTAGAGACTGTTAGAGAAGAACAGCAAGGAACAAGCCCAGACCTGATAGACACATAGAGTTTCTGGTTTTCCTTTTTGTTTTTTGCGACAGGATCTCACTATGTAGCCTGGCTGGCCTGGTACTCACTATGTAGACCAATCTGGCTTCAAACTCACAGAGATCTCCTGCCTCTGCCTATTGAGACTGATGGGTATGGAAGGGGAGAAGTCAGGATCTGAGTCCCAAGTTTCCAAATTCTGGTTGCATGAATGATATCATTAAATAGATAGGGGGTACCAAATGCTGTACTCACTGAAGAAATGATCCAATTTATAGGATTAAACCTTCAGTTTACACAAACAAACTATCATGTCCCACCTTGGACTGTGAGAGGAGGGGCAAGTTCCAGATACACTCAGAGAACTGGGCAGTGTGTTCTGAGGCAACCCCTGGAGAATGCATAAATACATCCCACCAGGAGTGGGGGGTCAGACTTTCTTTCATATCATCTCATACATCCAATTAGGCCCACTTTAGTCTGGACACGGACCACAGATATTCCACTTCTCACCTCCAATCACTAAACAAGTTATTGGCCAGGAAGCCAGACCCACTATGATGGGCACAATTAGTTCATCAAAAAGCTACTCTGAGCAAGCTACCAAAGATAGGAGCATGATGCTGCAGCCTTTGTCTAGACATAGACAAGAACACTGTGCACAGCCTCTCAGGGAGCAAAGCAAGCTCCCTGAGTCTGATAGGGTCTCTGTCCAAATGTACAGCAATTCCACGTAAATCAACACTTCATTTCCATAGCCAACCATTTATTTTTATCATTTGTTCCATTGTGCTGGAGACTGAACCTATGGCAACTTTAAAATGGTGGCATTTAGTAGCATGGCTAGAGAATCTGTTGTGTGTCTTCCTGTGTGGACACCTTTGAATGGCTTCCTTCTCTCAAATTACGTCTGGGAGCAGCTCTGCATTCATTTTTGCTCCACATGGTTACTGCCTGACAACAACCACACCTTTATCCATCGAACTCAGGATAGGTACTTGGAAAGTTTCCAGGTTGGGGAGAAGTGTCACTGTGCACACCCCTGATAAACATGAGTGTGCTTCTGTAAGATACACACCGAGGAGTGGAGTTATTGGCCTCGGACTCTGCAAACATCCAGCTAAACTGCCTTTCAGAGTGATGGTACCAACAGGCATTCATCCCCACAGCAGAACACAAGGGCTCCAGCTCCTGCCTGCCCGCTCCTGATTCCTCTCTCGCTGTGCTTTCAAGTCATTCTGGTGGATATCTAGGGTGGCATCTGCCTGTGACTTGAACATGAGCTTCCCTGTGGCTAATTAACTTGAGGGCTCTCATTCTGGAGTCTGTGTCTCTGGGTCCTCTCACGTCTAAGCTCTCTCTTCTGGAACCTGCTGCTGAAGAGGCAGTGCCTTCTGTCTCCCATGGGAACTTGAGGGTAAGCAAGGTCACAGCTGCTACAGAGCTATTTATGCCACTAGTATGCTTTTCAGAAGTAGGCCCACTGTGTGAATCCCAACCTTGAGGACAGGTTCATGTCACAATTGTCAGGCTAACCTGATAGTGTCACCTAAGGGACAGTATGGTAGCAAGAGTTCTAACTGGTCTTCTTTATCTTTGCTCCTCGTTATGAAAGAAGACAGGGACTATTCAGAATGCTGTGGGAGGACTATGTTGCAAGTCCCAGAGGAGGAGGGAAGGGAAAGAGGGGAGTAGAGAGTTCCCATCACTAATCAACTGTGGGACCTTGAGGAAATCACTCTACTCTTGTGGGCTTCAGCTTTTACCGATTAGGGTGGCAAATAAGTTTCATTTTGAGGCCTATCCAAGCAGTTGGGGGTTGTTATCTGGAGTGCTGCCAAAGGATTCTGATACTGAGTCTAAGCTCAGGGGAACAGCTCTGCGACTAATTACTGACATGGAAATAGAAGGCACAGGTTGGGGGGCAAGGCATTGTCACCTTTGGACCCTTTAAGTCTGACATTCTGTGGATGAGAAATTATTTTTCTACGTGGTATAAAAATGGGCTTTTAGCTAATGACAGATAATAAGGTAAAAGCAATTCCTAATTTTCAAATAACTGAATGGTAAGAGGAAACTTTAATAACACTGTACATGTATTTTATGTACAATTTTATTTATATATTTTAGTTCCTGAAAGTGATGGTTTTACAAGAAAGCACTTGAGAATTCTCCAATGTCATAAGCATCCATGAATATCCCCAAAAGACAAGAAGACTCTGGCTGAGGCAGCATGTTAACAGGCTACTCCTCTGTTTGGTACAGGTTGGCTAAGAAATTATAATGAAAAGTCTGTGGCTGAACTGGAATCCCATGAGATGGACAGGGCTCTGTGGTCAGAGAGTCGCTAACTACTAATGTTTTCTAGTGATGACAAACTGGCTTGTTACTGTGTTTAGGAGATCTGTCAAAGGCACAGCAAACCCTTCTATGAAAACTGCTCTCGATGTTTACAGGGAAGGGCTGTATGTCATGCCGGGGTGTGGTCTCCACCCTGTTGTGCCAGAGAGAATCCCCTTCTACACAGGAAGTCTGTCTTTTACTGGCCCCTTAGGAATACTGTGAACTTGGGAGTGAGACATCTTCCACCATGGGCTGTTTACAGTGAGACAAAGCCTGGGTCCACCTCTGGAGAGGCCTGCCTCTATTTCCAGTCTTTGGCTTTGGTGAGATATCTTCATATTTTGATACATTATCTTCTTAAAAGATACATTTCTTTTTGAGGTTAGCTTAACAAATATTTCCTTAGCACTATCAAAAGGGCCACCCATGTAGGCTTAAGACAAAGGCAAGACTAAGATGAAAAGAAAGGGAAAACTTAGAAAGAGAACTGTGGCAACAGGAAGAAGAAGAAGCAGTATGAAGGAAAAAGTCCCTTGGAAAGAGGGAGTGACAACCATGAGAACAAGTGAGGGATGGGTGGCAGCAAGTTGAGGCAACTAGCTTGTGTCCTAACTGTCAATCTGCCTTTGATAATGAACGGAGGAAATAAAGCATATGACTCAAAATCCCTGAGAACGATACAACCATAATAGACCGATAGTCCCATGAGACCTAAGTGAAAAGGCCAAGGTACAGGACAGTATATGTTGTGTGGATCCACTTGTGCCAATAACCCAACAACCTGGTTAAAGAAAATGCAAGTATAGGACTGGGCAGATGGCTCACCAGATAAAGTGCTTTCTGCAGTCATGAGGACCAGAGTTTGGATTTCCCAGCACTCACAGAAATGCAAGGCGTGGTGGCACACCTCTGTAATCTCAGCACTGAGGAGCAGAGGCAGGTGGGTCCTGGGGCCTTGCTGGCCAGACAGTCTTACAAGATGGTGAGGTCCAGGTTCAGAGAGGCCTGGTCTCAAAATGCACACACACACACACACACTTAGAGGAAATAGGATTTGAAATGACGGGAACAGCTTCTATACTAAACATTCACGGTTGTTTCACTCTTTTTCAATGAGAGTGTTTTATTACTGTAGAAATTTAAAAAGGAAATAAAATGAAAACAAAACAAAACAGAACCTGAACAAATAGGAAACAGTACCTTGGCTCTTGCCTCCCGGGCGGCTTCTGCCTCTGCAGCCATGGCTCTCTGGAGCTGGACTGGGAGTTTCACATCCTTAATCTCCACACGCTCCACCTTTATTCCCCAGTCATCAGTGGCATCATCCAGTGTACTCTGGAAGGAAAAGAGACAGCAAGTGAGGAACCAACGCTCCTGTCCATATGCCAAAAGCAACTGCATTTGCTAGTGTGTGGTGTCCATAAGATTTGGTGACAGTGGCAAAGAAATAGCATCACAGGAAGGCTGAAGCAGGGGCTGGAGAGCGAAGAAACTGCTCCGATTCTATTACTAATGAGCTAATGCAGGTGCTGGCAGACTTCTAAGGGGCATAAAGGAACTGTTTATTTGCAGTCTCTACTGCAAATATTCCAATATTCTGCCCTGCTCTCATAGGTCAAGAGCAGTACGGGTAATATACAAGTGAACAGCTGAACTGTATTCCAGGGAAACAAACACTATTACAGATACAGTAGTCAGCCTGAGTGCTAAGCTTCCTTTATTAGCAGTTTGTCTACATGAGTTAATGTGATGATGGCGTGTAATCCCTTTTTCACTCCTCTCTTTAGAAGGGCAGGGATGAACCATACTCTCTATCTTATGCAGTTGTGATGGTGTCACACAGGTCATCTGTTTTTAGCAGGGAGGGAGCAGTAATGTTAAGCAGAACTGCAAGGCCAGCCTGGGCCACAGAGCAGATTACAGGGCACTCTGAGCTGTAGGGACAGCCTTTTCAAAACAAAACAAGCTTCAGACTTAACCACAATGAAGCCTCTATGAATGGCAGGAATTCATATTGATACTACAGTATCTTTTCTGAACAAGCCAGTTTTTTTTTTTTAAGATTTTATTTATTTATTATGTATACAACATTCTGCTTCCATGTATATCTGCACACCAGAAGAGGGCACCAGATCTCATAACAGATGGTTGTGAGCCACCATGTGGTTGCTGGGAATTGAACTCAGGACCTTTGGAAGAGCAGTCAGTGCCCTTAACCTCTGAGCCACCTCTACAGCCCGAACAAGCCAGTCTTACTATGGTAACATCTATACCAGTCATGGCTGGAAAGCATGGAGGTTATGTGGGGATTGATGGACTTGTCCACAGGCTAGACCTTTACAGTTATGATCTACGATGAAGATAATATGGATCCCAGGAAAAATAAAACACTGGAAGGAATTTAAAAGCAGCATGCACCTGAGTGCTATGAACCCATGGGTGTTTGTCTGAAAACATTTCTATAATATCTGGAAACCTGAAAAAGAAAAAAGGGCATCCACCCCTGGCTGGTGAGTCAATGCCCTCGTGGCTGGCATGAACTCTGCTTAGTTTTCTCCCCGGGCTGACCGGCATCGATGCCTTCCTCACCTGCATGTGGTGTGCAATCTCCTCCCTGTCGGACAGGATCTGAGACAGGTTCTTGGTGCCCAGGGCATTCCTCAGTGTGGTTTGTGCCAAGAGGCGGGTTGCTGAATCTGCATTGGTGATATTTGCCACAGCCAGGGTTGCATTCTGAACGCGGTAGTAGACCACGCCATCCACACTGATTGTCACCGAATCCTTAGTGAGGACCTACAGGAGGAAAAAGGCAATCGTGCACCAGCACAGCTTCTTCGTTGCCACTACAAATGCCCTTCTCTGAACCCTTAGGCAACAGCTGATTCTCTTGAGTAAGGCATCAGAAGGTCAATTATACCTTTAGAGACTTAATAAAATGTTCCTATTTATCCCACTCCAGAGATTCATTCAATCACTCAACGATTTTGAGATACGACTCATAGCTGGCATTGTTCTGGCTCATTTCTTCCCATCACTCAATGTCTTCTCAGTGGAATTCCTGACTCTCACGGTCAGGCACACCTCCTATGCCCATCCCCGGGACCTCTGTGGAGGGACACTCTGAGTGGGATGTGTGGATGCCTCTGTTTCTCCTTTTTTATTGTTGTTGTCTTTTTTTGAGATAGTATTTCTCTGTGTAGTCCTGGCTGTCCTGGAACTCTCTGTAGACCAGTTTGTCCTGAAACTCACAGAGATCCACCTGCCTCTGCCTCCAAGTGCTGGGATTAAAGGCGTGTGCCACCACCTGGTGACTGTGAATTTCTTAGAGGCAGTTTCTCTTTATTTCTCTATTGGACAGTGTGACTGACACGTGGCAGAGGGTCCCCAGGTGAGAGATGAACTGAAATGAGATCCTAGAAAATGAGTGATGAGCCATGCAGGAGTGGGATCCAGAACCTGAACTGGTTCTGCTGGCACCCAGTGCGGTGGGCCGTATCGGGCTGTGAGCCATGTGACCTGGAAACCCCTCATCTGTAAGAGGCTGGCAGTATTGTCTCCAATCCATATTTTTATGACAATCAAGGGAGGAGGTGTCATGAAGGAAGCTGACCCCAGCTATGTCAATGAAAAGTAATAGCAACAGCTAAACAGCCTCATAGCCCTGCCAGGCAGCAGTTTTGTTGTTTAGTTGGAGAAGAGGGGAACCTGCTAACAAATGTACAGCTCGTTATCATCTTGTGTGCCAACCTGTTATACTGTGATGGGGAAATGAATGTCACTCACAGATCTTGCCACTGTGGCTGCCACAGCTGCATTGGGAGCTGCAGTATCTCTGCTCACTGTTTACTGTGGGCAGTGTTTATCTCCCCTTGCAGCAAGATCACAGGGGATGGGAAAGAGTTGCTTGCCAAGTTCCAATCCACTCTGGGTTTGGCAGCTTGCAGGGGAAAGGGAGCAGCAAAAGGCAGAAGCTCACAGCAAAATGCCAGATGACCACAGTGTTTACACCAGAAATGCCACACAATTCCCAGCTCTCCAAGGGATCTGGGGAGCCCACATTCCTGAGTGACAGGGAAACATGCAGAGAATCTGGAGATGTGTGGAATCAGATGTCCACCCATACCAAATGCTTGGATCAGTACCAGTAAGGAAGTTCCCAATTTGGATTTTGTGATTTATGATAAGAGAAAGCTAGGCTCTGACATCATGCTGAGTACTGGGCCTGTGCCCAGGGAACACTGCTCTTCCTGCCCCCACAGCTAGCCCCTTCAGCAGCCTGGGGGCTGTCTGCAATGGTTATTATGTCTCCTAACATATGGGTATCAAATGGCCATGACGGAGCTGGTGTCCAGTGCAGTGAGCCCTGAGCAGAGGGGAAAGCAACAGAAAATCCCAAGAGCTTGGCTCCGAGGACGTCTCACTGTGACTGCATTTTTCCAGGAACAGAATGCGAATGTCAACTGTGAGCTGTTTGTGAAGAAGCCTGAAAAAGCACGAAATGACCACAGAAATTCCTAAAATGCCAAATGAGAAGTTTCTAAATCTTTGGCTTCTAACAAATTTATCTGGAATAAAAATGAAGCCCCTGTAAAGAATGTTGAATTAGATTGGATTTTTTTTTCTGTCAGAAACCAATGAAACAACAATGACGATAACTCGAAGTCCTTGTGTATCACACTGTGTTTCTAATAACAGCAGCAAGTGCACACAGCACTCCAGCCTCGGGTACCGTGCTGAACAGTCCCCGTGCGGTCTCACTCCCTCCTTACAACACCCCACTAAGTAGGCCTCTCACCATTCCAACCTCCATTTTACAGCTGAGGACATGGAGACACAGGATTTCAGGACCTGCTCAAAGTCACAGAGATGGGAAAAGAGAAGGTGGTCAGGGTGAGAACTGCTCACCTCCTGAGGTGGGATATCAAAGGAGATGGTCCTCATGTCCACCTTGATGAAGCTGTCAGTGCATGGCAGGATAAAAAACAAGCCTGTAAAACATACACAGCACCAGAGAGACACGATTACCTTCAGCTTACTCTTGATCAGCTCTAAGGGACTCAGTCTCAACTGCTGTTTTTAACGTCCCTCACTCACTTCTCACCTAAGAACTTAAGAGTTTCTCTCTCTGAGTCGTTTTCCTGAGCCTCAAGTCCCGCACCATGTAGGACTTGCCCTGCCTCTCTAGTCTCCTTCCCTCTCTTCAGGCCCTGCTTCCTCACTGGGCGCAGTTCCTACAGCACCTCTACTCCGCTATCTCCCCCTACATGGCTCTGCATATGTTGTTATTTCTGTCAGGGATACCTCTCTGTGGCTAACAACTCTTCACACCTCAGCATTCAGACAGGCCAGCCATAGTTGAACATGTAGATGGTTACAATATTTGGAAGGATGAGAGTTTGAAGCTGGCTTAGGGTACACAATGAGTTTCAGGTCAGGCTGTGAGATAGTGCACCAGAAAGAAAAGGAAAACAAAAAAGAAAAAAACAGGGGCTGAGATGGCTCAATAGTTAAGAGTGCTTACTGCTCTTCTCAAATGACCCAAGTTCAGTTCCCAGAACCCTATAGACAGCTCATGACTGCCTGTAACTCCAGCTCCAAGGGCTTTGACTCTCTTCTGGATTCCGAAAGTATCTGCACTCATGTGCACATATCCACATATAAATATATAATTTTATTTATTTTTTATTTTTATTTTATTTTTGTTTTTTGATAAAGGGTTTTCCTGTGTAGCCTGGTTGTCCTGGAACTAGCTCTGTAGACCAGGCTGGCCTTGAACTCAGAGATCTCCCTGCCTCTGCCTGTCAAGTGCTGAGATTAAAGGCATGCACCACCATGCCTGGCTAACTTATAATTTTAAAACAATAAACATAAGTATTTTAAAAATAAATAATAAATGATGGGAAAGCTTTGCCTCATTTATTACTTCAGGTTAGTCGCTCTTCTCTGTGTCTTCTGTGGGTTCTCTTTCATGGCTCTGTGGCCACTGTATCAGAACACTAAACACAGGGTGTAGCTATCTGCTTCTTTGTTGGTGTCCAGTTGTTGGACGGCAAGCCCTTGGAGAAGGGAACTGTGTTCTTCTCTCTGGGTGTGGTGGCACACTCCTGCGAGCTCAGCATCTGAGCAAGTCTTTCCTGGGTTGGGATGCTCACGCTCAGCTCCCACAGCTGTGGCCAAGGCCAATGATAACCTAATCACTCTAAGCAGATAGTAACGGAAGAGCAGGGCAGTGCCCAGACAGGCCAGGGCTACTGACTGCTACACAGATTCTGCTGCAAGCAAAGGCCTCAATGGGGGCTCACATCAGTGGGGAGGGCTCAGCAATTACAAGCATATGATGGTCCTTCAGAGGACCAGAGTTTGATCCCCATCACCCACACCAGGTGGCTCCCAAATTCTGTAATTCCAGCTACAGTGGATCCCATACCTCTGGCCTCTGTGGGTACCAGCACTCATGTGCAGATAGCCCCGCCTTGCCACATATATACAAATAGGTTTAAAAAAAAAAAACCAAAAAACACAACACTTTAGTTTACAGACTGAAACCTAGTACTGACCAGGTCCTTTGGCGCCTCCTTGCAAAATTCGACCCAGTCTGAAGATGATGACTCTTTCGTACTCCTTTACAATCTGGAATAAACACAGGAATGAAGTCACTGTGATGAACATTTATGGACACAGCTTCTTTAACATGTCTTTGCTGTGACCAGGTTCAGAGCCTCCTGGCATTGTCTCCATTTCCAGACAGTGTCCATAAACAGCCAACTGGTGTTTACTCTTTCCAAGCACAGTGTTTATTTATTATACATAATTTCTTATACTTATCATAAAAGCTATAGACACTGGGAGTTGTGACACATGCAGGGCTCTAGAAGTAGAAGCCCGAGGGTGATGAGTCTGGGCCAACCTGCACTACCTGGAAGCCCCTGCCCCAAACACAGACCAGACACACTGGGGATCAGAGAAAAGTAGGGGAAATCCATCCCCAGGCCCACCCTCGGCCATCAACATCCTTGCTAATTATCCATGTTTTGTTTGCTCAGAAAAGCTTATAGCTCTTCTTCTGATTTCATCAATTATAATAAAATTTGTCAGTGCATCCTTGCTAATTATCCATGTTTTGTTTGATAGCTTATAGCTCTTCTTCTGATTTCATCAATTATAATAAAATTTGTCAGTAAACGCCGGCAGCGTATTTGTTATTCAGGAATATGCAAATGACAGTTATTTGGCATGCATCAGTGATTTTGTAGGGAAGCACTGTGCTGGAGAGCGAGGCTCTGCAGTCAGTATGTCGAAGTAGGCATTCACTTAATCCCGACCATCATCTGAAACAGGGACTGCCATTTTCCCCAGTTTTACAGCTGAGGAAACACAGCAATGGTGGTGCTGTCAGCATGCCCACCCAGACTTGCCATCCTAGCTGTAGGGGTAGGGTAGTCTCACACCCTGACACAGACAACTGTTGCATGTGATCCTCACTTTGCCTGTGGGAAGGACTGAGTGGACAGTGGCGGGAACAAGTTTTAATATTGACTAGAATTCATCGGCAGAATGTGTTTTCCAGAAGGGAGATGAGAGAAAAAGAACCACAGGCCAGTGTGGCAGCCCTCTGTCCCATAGATCAAGTGGCTTACAGAGGTAGGAGCTGGCCCTGTTCCAGAAGTGGAAGAAAAGCTTTTACCTTTATGCAAATCCATATTGATATCGGGAAGGTTACAACTACAAACAAGAACGAGAAAGCCACCAAAATCCATCCACAAGGTCCCAGTTCTGCCTTGGGGTTATCTGTTGAAACAAAAACATACAGCCTGTGATGGGCACCTCTCCCCGAACAGCTCTGTGCTTGCCGTTTTGCTGGCTGTTTTACCTGAGTTCCCTTTCTAATTCTCACACAGACCTGAAATACGAGTACCTACTCATTTCTCACATTCATTACCCACCGTGTTACCAAGCAAACGCTTTTCAATACCGCTTATTTATTTTGACTCGTGATTCGACATGACAAAAAGGAAGAGTACTCAGCTCTGACGAGACCCGCGTACAGTGAGGAAGATTTAGATTTGGGGGAGGGGAGTGGCCCACATCAAGATGGAGAGACTGGAGCGGGGTTGGTAGAGCACAACCATCGACAGCTTCCTAACAGCAAGGAAAATGCCAGCAAAAAGGCAGAGACAAAGAAAATGGTATTCTAGTTCATGGAGCAGCATGACTCATGATGAAAACCACGACACAGGCACATAATCCCATTACAGTGTCTTTATACAAATTGCTTCTGCACACAGTTGCCCCAGCTTAAGCACCGCCACCCATTTCCTGACTAGTAAAGGGCGTCTGGTTTCTTGCTATTAAAAACAATGCTGCCATGAATATCATTGGACTTGGTCTTCCTCCCTCTTCTGCATATAAAGAGTGCCTTTGTCTGATTACAGGTGTATTACATACACATCCTGCTGCAAAACCATGTAGAAATTATAAAAAGGAAAGGAAAATTACTTTAAACCCAGAAGCAGTAACTATTTCAATACATTCTTCCAACCTCTTTATTGGTTCACACTATATTTTAAATTTCAAATAAATAAAGTTAGTAGCATATTTTCTCCCTCTAACTAATGTTCTTTTATACATTTTATTACCTTCTATAGTCATAAACTTGAGCTTTTCCTGTCTTTGACTTTTTAAAAGTCAAAGTTATTGCACTACTGAAGTTTACAAGGAGCCAGTAAGATGGCTTAGCAGGTAAAGGTGCTTGCTGCCAAAATGGGGAAACATGAGTTTGATCCCTGGAACCCACATGGTAAACGAGGACTGTTTTCTGTAAATTGTCCTCTGACCATTATACACATGCTGTCACACTGGTACTATGTCATGTATGCTATGCACACATGCACACTCACAGAAACACATTTTTAAAAAGAGTTAAATAGTTCTACAAGTTAATACAAAAAAGTGCAGATCCCATCATTACACTGAAATTCTTCAAAACCCAGATAAGTACATGGCATCAGAGATGAGGACCAGGGAGTTAGGTGTGTAGTCTGAAAACTGGACAGAAGTTACTGTGGAAGTTTCGCCTCAGCCCTGGCATGCATATACCCAACGAGTCTGGAATGCTATGGCGGAAGTTTCACCAAGCCCCTACTCTCCCCTATCTCCTTCCAAACCCTGCTGCATCTCAGAAGGAAATGATGACCCCTCCCCAGAGATGTTCAAGACCACTCCCATAGGGTATTTTAAACTGTCCCCCAGAAAATAGACTCGTAATTTTCCAGTCTCCCTTTCCTGTCTCCCCTCTGGGGGACTGGAAGGCCATCCAGGAGCATTGTATCCATTAAATGTGGACTTTTTCTTTTTTCTTTTTTTTCTCTTTTTGGTTTTTGAGACAGGGTTTCTCTCTATTGCTTTGGAGGCTGTCCTGGAGCTTGCTCTGGAGACCAGCATGGCTTTTTGTAATTCGGTTTGATTTGGTCTGATTTGGATTGCTGCATTAACAGAGAAGCTTATCAGGGTGCAGAAACTTTTCACACAGTCTTGTCCATATCTAATGCTTGGCTAGAAATACTGAAGCAGCCCCAGAGCAGCACTGTCACAGGTGTGTTCTTACTCCCTTTACAGTGAAATGATCCATTCTGTACCACCAAGATTCTCTCCCATCTGGCCACAAGGTGCATAAACTACATTTCTCGGGAGGTGAGGTTCTGCTAGGCTCATAAATGTATCTCAGTCATCCATGATTGTTGGGCAAGTAAGAAAAAGCAACTCCCATGAGCCTCATTCCCTCAGAGTTTCTAGTTTCGAGTTGTCTCCTTCTGTCAAGTTACAAGGTAAATGACAAGTAACAAGCAATCAACATTCCTGAGATGTTTTCACTTAAATACTTGTTT